GGCAGATACAGGAAGGCAGGGGATCTGCCTGCAAGCCCGTGGCCAGCTCTGTTGCTGCTGCTGGGTGCTGCCTGAAGCTCCTGTCTTGTTACCCTGCCTTGGTTATGTGACTTAGGATAGAGGCAGAGCAAAATGTCACTGGTGGTGAAAATGGCCAACAGTGTAGGAGAAAGTCAAATCCACTGGACTCCTAAGAGAGCAAAATTCAGCTCCACAGGCTGAATTGATACCCGTGGAAGGAGTTTGAGGGTGGGAATGATTTCACTGTTCTGTAAATATTTCCATATATGTGTCTTTGTTCAAGTAACATACTTTTTAAAAACTCACTTTTGAGCTCTAAAATTGGACAAAAAAGGAGGCTATAGCAAGGTCTGAGATACATCTGGGCTTTTCACCCGGTATCCTGGTCTTTGCAGCTGTGAAAACCTGGGACCTTTTTGAGAAACCGAAATACTTACCTACTGCAGTCCGAGGACACAGGAGCTAGGCTTTGGGGGTGCGAGCCTCCTTCTCTGCCTTTGGAAACTTTTCTCACGTAAAATGCATGGTCCTCTCTGGCTAAACTTTCCAAATCCTTCCTCAGGAACTACCTGGAACTGGATGCTTGGAAGCCTCTGCTTGAGGTGTGTGTATAGGGTCACCTTCATAAATGTTAGGCTAGGAGGGGCGAGCGGAAGAATTTCGAGTCAGGAGGGAGCGGGAGAAAAGGGAAGGAAGATTTGATCTGAAACAAAACGTTAGAACTGATCAGACTGTAAAATCGAGAGTAGTTCCAAGCTGGTACCACTGTGGGGCGCCCAAGTTCTACTCGGCTAAAGCGGGCATCTTTCTTGGTACAAGGACTAAAGTCCCGGAGAGCAGATGCACTGGGGGAAGCGAGGGGAGGGGTAGGGGTGGGGCTAGGGTGTCCTTTCTTCTCGAGTTAAACTAGCCTGGGAGACTTTGTCACCGAACAAGTCTCTGCGCGGGGGAGAAGACTTTGTCTGAGGGGAAGAAACAGGAGGGTGTGAGTGGGGGAAAGGTCTTAGAAAAGAAGAAAATCTGGACTATCGAGCTGACCTGGCAGCACAAACGGCCCTCTTTGCTTCAGAAATTCTTTGGCTGCTTCTCAAACTGGGGCCGCGACCTCTTTTAAAGGGGGCGTGCGAGGAGGGGACACACACTGGGGCGGGGTCCGCTTCCCCCACCCCAGCCACCCACCCACTTCCCGGGCCCCAGCCCCGGGGCGCCTCCTCCCTCGCCCGGGGCCGCCGGGAAGCCGGGCTCCTTCTGCTCGGGGACCGCGGGTTGCGTCTCCATCTGCAGCCCCCGAGGACTCTTCAGCCGGGATGGAGGCGGCCACCCCGCCCGCGCCCCGATGCTCAGCCGTCGGCGGCCGGGAGGCGCGGACTCCCTTCCCGCGGCTCCGCTG